ATGTAGATACCTGACCAGTAAACACTAGATTTTGCCCTCATTTTGCACTGCTGTATTCAAATGCTATTGTTCTCTCAATGTAATCAAAATAAGTAGTCTACTACACATCAGAACTGTATCTTTAATTCGAAAAAGCTTTTATAAAGGTACAAATTGATAATGTTTAATCTCTACATAACAATTTCCAATAGCTTATGTGAATGTTGGTATAATCGTGTATTTTGTTTATTAAAGGCAATGGATAGCATATAGGTACATTTTTATGAAAGTGAATAATGCTTCAAAATGTAACAGCGTTTCCATTATATGCCATTGTAAACTGTGTCTGTGATGTTCAATTTCATTACTGTGCTTGTTTGTCTGATTAGCTGTGTCTATTGACACCAATAGGATTAGGGATATTCGGGCTGACGGATAATTTGTTATTTTCAAAGTTCTAAACAGTACAATGAAATATTGTTCTGTATATCAAGTGTTGTATGTTATAATTAAAGGCAAATAAAAGCGTTCTATACATGCCCGTAGTCGGTGGTGCCGACCACGCCCCCTCCCCACCGCCGTGCGGTCGAGGTCCGTTTTTTAATGCACAATGCACAAGGCGGACTAACTGGTATCAACAGCGGGGCTGGAAGTCCTAGAAAAATTGTTCACTTTGTCATAGAATAGAGACGAACCCTGCAGTTTACAGTTATCTATTCCCGAGTCCGTATTATACTGGTCATCTTCCCAAGTCTGCATTATACTGGTAAAGGCTTCGGTGGAGCCGGCACGCGTTGAAAAAAACAACTTTCACGCCATGAAATTGGTGGACCGCTGTGAGCCGCGCCCCCGGCACGCGACACTCTGCCAGTCAAATAAGTGACGCCTGGCCGTATCTGTTATGGTAAACGGCGCCCGGAAGTTTCATTTGACTGCCAGTGGATGACGCCGACCAAGCGCCGACACAGTCCCCTACTGTCATATACTAGTATAACCTGCCGCTGAACATGATGTGGTTTCACCCATTTCCAAGAGGGAAAACATTTCAAACACAAGAGCGTTGTAAAGCATACAAATTGAATGTGGTATCAAAGCCAGTAAAACGTTTGGAGACGGGAGTTATCACGGCACAGTGGCGGATCCAGCAAAATGTATTGGGGGGGGGGGGTTCCAAGCTACGCTTAAGATATACGGACCGTAAATCGCAGAGAAGTTATGCGTAATCCAGATGATACGAATTGTCACGGTAAGCACAGAAACTTGTCCCAGCGCTGGTCAATGTGCCACATGCATGATTAAATCCTGTTGGAGGCACTTATCTAATGGGCGTTAGGTCAAGATTGTTAATTTGTCAAGGCTGTTAGGTGATAGATAGGAATTCAGACTGCTATGGCTGTTATCAATATTAAGACCATTACGGATATTAGGTGTTAGGTTAGGCATTAAGACTCTCAAGGCTAATTGGTTAGAACATGAT